CAAAAAAAAAAAAAAAAAAAAAAAAAAAAAAGAAGGAAAAGGCTTGTTTATTACATTTGTTGTTTCTAAAACAATTTTCAATCACGACTCTTAAAACAATAAAACCAATCTAGAACTATTTAGGCGAAAAACATGCAAGAGATGACCCAGAGTCTATTAATATAAGATGAAAAGTGTTTTAGAGAATTTTTTTATTAAAAAAACTCTATTTGTAATAGAAAAATTCTTTAAAATATTTTAAATTTGTATTTAAACAGACTTTTAATATCAAACATGCAAGATCTGATTTATCAGGGAAGTTGAGAGAAAAAAAAATAATGAACCTGAGATAGTGAAAGAGTACTTATATATATTATTTGACATTACTAAGGAATTGTACAAAAATTCTTGTAATATCCCGGAAAAACATGAGGACTCTATAATAACTTGGGGACCATAAAGAATTTGTTTTGCAGCCCAAAAATGATTCAAATGTCTTCGCCCGAAAATAGAACCAAATTACATTACGAATACCTCAGCAGAGTCGTGTTTTGAAATTGTTAGACCCTAGCCGAATTTTTTGCTTTAGTTTTACTGTAATATAATTAGTCGAATTTCATTTTATTCTTTTAATTATTTGAACAATAAAATTGCTAATTAAAATTTAATAAGTTAAAATTTTCAACATCTCAATAAAAAAAAATCCCTTCAATCACTATTTTGTAATATAGTTAATCTCAAATTAAATCTAGAAAATTTAATTTTTAAAATAATTACAAGTAATATTGATAACATTTTATAAACATTACACACAAATAAAAATAAAAAAAATTCAATAAATTTAATATTTATAATAAGAAATTAATTTGTTTTTTAATATTTATTTTATTATCTTCAATTCAAGGGGAAAAGTCATGATTACTAATATAAATTTAACAATGTTTCTTTCAATTGAGTCATTCTCTTCTAAAATTCTTATTTACTGAAGTTCAAATAAAAATGCTCCAAAGTGTTTTTTATATTTTAAAATTTGTTGAAATAAGTCTCGAATAAAAGAAAAAGAAAGTAATTTGATGTATACAAAAAAAAAACCAAATCTATAAAAAAAATAGTCTTTAATTAGATGTAAGATATTATACGTACTATAATTTTTCTCAAAATGTACTTTATAGATCATATAGTTTTTATGAGATATACTAGCATATAAAAAAAAATTTATACCTTCGTGAATTACTTTTAAAAAAATTATATAATAAAAAATATATAATAATGAATGAATATTAAAACTGTAGACAATTATAAAATGAAATTTAAAAAAATGTAATTTATAAAAAAATAATTATTAAGATAAAATTAGATAAAAATCATCTACAGTAAATAATTCAATCCCCTATATTATAGTTATAATAAATATCTATATTCATTTCAATAGCTTTTTTATTTGAATTCAAAGTTACATGTAAACTACATTTTTATAAATTTTTAAATGATAATATATTAAAAACACCTAACGTGTACCAAAAAAAAATTGCACACCTAAAAATAATTTAAGTAATGAGATTAAATATTAAAATATTAAAATGTAATGATTAATAGATACCAATTTGATAAAATATATATATATATATATATATAATTTCTTACTCTTAAAATTAATGAGATTAAATATTTTTATTTTAAAATAAAAAATGAAAATTATGGATTAAAAAAATGACAATGTTAATTTAACCTAATAATAAGACTTTTATCAAATTAAATATTAAAGTAAAATGATTATAAGAATAGTAAAAAGTAGTTAGTGCTACTGCTTACATAATTTCAATAATGACTAATAAAATTGTAGTCTGGTAAAGTATATGCTGACCATGATCTTACTCATAGAAAAAAATATGTTGACCATATTAAAAAGTCAACTACCCCACCGATTCTGCTAGCTGCAATGGGACACGTGTGTTCCCAATGTGTCATATCATCAAAGACCTAATCGTTGACTTGTCATTTTGGATTACAAAAGAAGAAATACTTCACTAAAATATGCAAAATTAACTACCTCTTTCTTTATTTCAATTCAATTATGTGTTTGCATTATTTCTTCCCATGTTTTTCTCATGTATACTACGTTTACAGTACTTCCATCGTGATTAAATTTGTGAAGAATTACCTAATGAATAAAAGCATATATAACTTTTTCACGCGATTGATCAATTAAAATCATTACTATTTATAGTCTTTTATATATAAAATTCAATTACTTAATTTACTATGATTAAAAAAAATTAGTTAATTGATTTAATAATTTTAAACTTGACATAAACTTATATTTTTTTAAACTACTCCTAGTATTAATGTGCATATTACACTACTGACTACTTATTAAATCAAGAGGAATGTATTAGTTAAAGATATTTTTTATTAAAAAATAATTAATATAAAAACATTTTAGAATAGTTCTTATAAAAATGATCAAACAATTCAAATTCAAGCCTCATAAAAAGAATCGAAGTATATATAGATATAACATTAAAGTTAATTATAACATTAAAGTTAATTATAACTACACCAATTTTCAAGATAAAATAATATATAATATGACTAAAATTTTCTTTATTTTTACAACAATTTTTGGTAAATAATAAAAATACTTATATATATATATATATCCTGCAGGTTAAAACATAATGTTGGGATGCAAGCAAAGTCCTACATCATTCAAATAAGAAGATGGACATGTATTTATATACACACAGTTGTCTCCATTGGTTGAGAGACATTTTGGGTGATGTCCAAAAGCAAACCTGTGGGCCGTGAGGGCTTGAGCCCAAAACGGACAATATCTCACTAATGTGGAGACATGTGTGTATCTGTAGTAACCCCTTAATGCTCAACACATAAAACATCAATAAACAGAAATACTGTAAGAAACGAAAAATACACTATAGAAAAAAAAATTATAAAATAAATAAGGTATGTAAGGCTAAAAATGAAGCAAAATATATAAGAGGATACTTTACTAGCTAGTTTCAATTATGGATCTCTTACTTTCAGTAAAAAAAAATTTAATGTAAATAACCCCCTTCTATTTTGCTTTACTTTTAGTCTTATACACCTTATGTTTTTTAAAACAATTTTTTCTCAAGTGTAATTAATACATTTTTGATATTTTAAAATAAAAAATAAATTGAGACAGAAAAAATTTCAAAAGTGATTAATAAAATGGGATGGAATGCGTATTAGTTTATATTAAATAAGATTTTGGTTCATATATTTTTTATTTTTTTGAGTTCTGGTTTTCCATAAATCTTTATCATTGATTTCTATGTTTTTAGTATTTGAAATTTGGTCCATTATGAACCAACATCCGAGTAAGTAAGAAATATAAAAATTAATCTTTCATAAAAAATAGAGACTTTTGTAAATCATTATAAATTACATAGACAAGAATAAAGTTCAAACTTTACAAATATTGTCCCAACTCATTGTTACTACGTTGACTCTAAACTGATATTTAGGATAATGATTATAAAATTTAATCTAAATGAATTGTTAACCACTTAATTATTGAAAGAGTCCAACTCAATTAATTGAAATATGTACTTGAATGTTTTAAATCTCCTTAATTTGTACTTTGTTCGATTCTCATTGATAAAAAAAAATAAATGAGTTGTTTATGCTACAGTTTTCGATTAATAGTTATAACAGTCTAGATTAAACAAATCACAATCGTTGGGATGAGGTATAATGTGTTTAAGTTTGATCTTTGTTGATTTGAGTATAATCTTTCTTATTATAGATTAAAAAAGGTTAAACAAATCACAATGTTTCTTTAATTTCTTCTTTTTCATAGAAGTGAGTAGATCCAATACAACTTAATTATAACATAACCTACCCTTAAATACACTTAACTGTTGAGTTCTAATGAAATTTAGTACATTTACTTTAATGCTAGTATATATAGGATCTTAACTTCAAAATTTATTACCACCATTGTTGATCTTACGGATAAAAAAAACCTACCCGTGTAAACAATCAAGTCTTTGAATATATGACGATACAAAAATGCCATATATTCCATATAATATATTATTAATCTGTCCAGAGAGTGAGATCGGTTTCACAATCAACCTGGTCCCAATCAAATCCTCTCATCATAGACGGTGGTGTAATGAGAAGACCCTCTGCCATACTATCCAACAAACTCGGCATGTTATACACTGCCTCTTCATCAAAAAACGCGGATTCATTAGACTCATCATTATCATTCCTACTCTTAACAATTTCATCAACCAAACAAGGCTTAGTAGTCTCAAGACTCTCAACCCTCGAAGATGATGAACTGCACAAGGAAGAAGGAGCAAAAACCTTTGAAACTTTTGATGCAGCCAATCTTATATCTTCAGCAGAAGAAGACTTTGCAACTGGAAGAAGAGAAACTGAGTCAGGGAAGTTGAATATGGCCGAGGTGCCCTTAAGTGCTAGGACAGCCACGTCATGTGCCCTAGCAGCAAGTTCTGGCGTAGGGTATGTCCCAAGCCATATCCTTGACTTCTTGTTGGGTTCACGAACTTCACACACCCACTTGTTACCGTTTCTTTGACGAATCCCTCGATACACAGGGTGACGTGTCTCTCGAAACTTCTTTCTCCCCGCTTTCCTCTTGTGAGAACTCATCACTGACGACGTTGTTGCTTGTGCTTGTGCATGGTGTGATGATGAATGAATAGCTGATGGAGAATTCGGTGAGAGTTGTTGGCTTTGAGGGGAAGAAGTGGATGATGGTGAAGAGGAATAATAGTAACAATAATAATGAGAATGAGAATGAGAATCTCTCTCAACTTTGTCCATGCTTTGATTGATGAAGAATAAAATATAGTGTTGTATTTTTTGAGAAGGAAGGTGTTGGTGTTGGTGTTGGTAGTGATTCATGCATGAAACTATATATATAAGAGTACCAGTCGTTGACCTTCAAGTTTGCAGGCTAAGATGTATGTGGTAGAGGTGGAAACAGGAAAGAACGTTAATTTGGAGAAAGAGACACAGTTCGAGAACAAACACGTGCCACACGTTAATGGAATCAAATTTAATCATCTTCTCGTAGATTGTGATGCGAAATTTAGAAAGATTTTTTTTTTTTACATAATTATATATTAATTGTGTTAGAAATTTTATTTCTAATAATTATTGTAGGCTGCATATATTATTTGTAGTATTTATATTAGTTATTTACATTTAGTTGAGCTCAATAAAAGTGATCTAATTTTAGTGAGCCTTTAGACTCCCAACAGGAAAAATTGATATGAGCCCATATAAATGGAAACCAGATTTGGCCCGTTAGGGGTTAATTGAACCCTAATAAGTTTAAAATTATAAAGATGGTCATGGTCCCCAATATGCCAAATCAGAAACACACGTCTCTTTGTCTCCCCATCAGAAGAGTAACATCAAGTCCCATCAAGGAATTCAGTGATTTGGCTGAGGAAGATCATTGCACCAAAAGACTATTCCGCTGCAACCTTTTGATCAACGTCAATGGATACAGGTACGTATTATTAACATTAACTCTGTAATCTGAGACAACGGTTCTTAATATTGATTAATGGAAAATTTCTATTTGGCTTAAGACATTTATCCCAACAAGTGGTATCAGAGCCGTCGTTGTTATTAGGTTATGGGGTTCTAAAGCGTATTGTTACAATTTTTTTTCTCTCTTCATTGATAATACGTGTATTTGAATGCGTTGTCATTTTTTTTGCTTCAATTTGGTTTAATTGATTATACGGATAAAGAGATCAATTAAAAATTGAATTTTTATTAAAGAGAATTTTTGTGAAATTGTATAATTTCCTGTGAATGTTATAAATTTGTATATGTAACAATTTTGCAATGATCCTGAACACATTGTCAAATGTAGAACTTTTTTGAATTTTTAATTTTCTCACCAGAAGTGAGATAATTGTGCAACAATGTAATAAAGGAATATTTTCTCACCAGAAGTGAGTTAATTGTGCAACAATGCAATAAAGAAATATTTTCTCACCAAAGTGACTTAATTGTGCAACAATGAAATAAAAGAATATTTTTCTCACTGGAAGTGGGAAAATAATATTATGTTTGATCCTTTGAGTACCACCAGAAGTGGGATTTTATTTTGTTTTTGTCAAAATCATTGTTGTTATATTAAATGATATTTGGGAAAATTATATGATTAATATATTGAATTTCACATTATCGATTTTTTTTAATGGCATTCGCGTAAGAATTATTTTCTTGAAATTTGATTGATATTATGTTCAAATTTAAATTGATATTTTTTTATATATCAAATTTGAGTGCGAATGTTGGCAGATTATAGACCCTCTTTATTAATTAATTTGTCTGGTAATTTTTAATTAAATAAATTGATGTAATATATTGCCAAAGCAATCCCTATTATAGAAATTAATTTGATTAAAAATTACAATAGATGTTAGTATGAAATTATTTATGCGATTTGTGTTCATTCCAAAGGAAGACACAATTTAGCCAAATAATAACATGCCTGTGATGATATTCATTCCAAAGGAAGACACAATTTAGCCAAATAATAACATGCCTGTGATGATAAATATGTGACAATTATAAAGTTACAATCATGTGAATAATAGTTGGTCCAAAGAAAGGCTATTATTTGATAGAATTAATTATCAATATTTGATCGTTGCATTGAGAGTA